AATCTATGATTTGCTGTGAATCCTTTCAGCCCTCAATAGATGGGAAAAGATTGAAATGCTCTGGAGATGAGGCCTCTTTATTTTTTTAATGAAAGGCTGTATAATATATTTTCTGTATGGCTGCAGCAGCTGTCAGGAAGAGCATCTCAGTTCAGCTCTATTATGGGAGAAGCAATACCCCATCCTATGGCATCGAGATCCACTGAGGGGCCAGGACTGATTGACAGCTTGTCACTGTGACGTCTTATTCCATCTCTGTTATGGAGAAAATTAATGTCACACCACCCGCCTTATGACTCACTGTCATCTTCGAACCGCTCACCTTTTAGCAATGCTCTAAATAACATTTCAAGCCCATTGTCTCACGGTGGACAATCCGGTCAAGGGACATTAAATCGGATGACTGAAATGTCATAATAAAAATGGAATGCTAACAACTTGTTCTCTAAACTAGCTTCTCTGGTTTTTAAATGGTGACAAGGGGGAGCTAGGGTTCGGCACACCCGTTCTGAAAAGGTCATACAATCTCTCTTGGTCTGCTACCCAGTACTACTCTCCCCCTAACTTCCACCCACAAAAAAAAGAAAGAAAAGAAGAAAAGAAAAAAAAAGGAAAAATGTGTGGGGGGAAAGAATTAGCAGTCTTTTTTTCAGACAGGGGTGCTAAAATAATATTTTGCACCATAATGTCTATTTAATTTGTAATTTCAGCTACAAATGATTAAATGACTGTAATGGAGTCATTCTTCAGGAGTGTTTGATAAGTGGGTGATGTCAGCTCATTTACTATCCTGAGCACAACAGGTGAGAAAAAGTTAACCTAGAACCTTATTAGTATATGAAAAAATATTTAGCTAACTGATTAAGCTTCCTAAAATAATCACCTCAATAATCAATAATCACCTAAAAGCACATCTTATCCCACTCAGGCATAGCAGAGTTCTTCCATTTCAGAAAGACTACAAGTTTAGAAATAAAATTGTTTGTATACCCCTAATACACATAGATGATTTGCATTCTAGGAACTGATAAGACTTACTACTCCTAGAAGTAACTTTCTCGAACAGCACATCTTAAGTTTCTCAGAAAACATTCAACCTTGCAGTAGAGTTATGAAAGCTTATTATTAACATAGGTTAAAATGTATATTCTGAGTAACATTTATTCATCTTGCATTTTCACATAATGTTTTATATTTAATGTAAGAAGGAAAATATTTGATCATTTATATAGTACCAGAAATTATGGAAAGCATTCACATTATGAAGGAAAGTGACCAGTTTAATAAAGCCTATCCAAGTGGAAAATACAGTAATAATAACTGCATTTATGCCCAAATTTCTCAGCTAGGTATATAATTTAATGTATAGGATATTACTAAAATATTAATTCATCAAGTATGGCTTATACTTAGTACAAATTTTATACTGCTATTAAAAAAAATCCATTTGGCTATTTATGAAGATCTTTCCATGGAAAAGGGAGAATTTGTCTTGGTAGTACCCAAATTTGAAATAATTCTCATAATTATAATTATGTTTTCAAAAGATGGTGCACAATACTTTAACTCTGGATTGGTTTTTAAAAATATGGTGTTTTGCCTTGCTAAGTCACCTCTATTAAACTGTGTTAATGATAACACTATTGGTGTGTGAGTTGTACAAGCATTAACAGACAGCTGATTCAGTGGAGATATCCAGAATACATTTGCTGAAGCGCACATCCTGCTAATCTGTTTGAAGAATATTGTAGCGCATTAGTACCAGCACTTCATGTTATCTGCACAGCCTGATAAGGTACATCTTTATTAAATTCAGTTACTGAAAGGATGTCAGTCAGCGAATAGGAATATTTTAAAATCTAAAAAAAAAATTAAGCAGTTCTTTGTCAGTCAGAGCTTGGTTTAATGGTTGAGTGTCTAGAGAAGCCTCCTAAACACCTGGCAGCACTGTACAATAAAAGCTTTGTAATTTTAAGTGGAAAAGCACCCCACTACCCCCATCTTTCAAGGGTAGTGAGACATTTACTTTTTAGTGCTTTCATTAACAATAAACGGTGGAGTAAGAGCTCCCCTCTCTGTTGCTTCAATAAATCTACATAATAGCTGTTCGACAGTGTGAGGATTCTGGGAAATAGAGCAATTTGGTTCAAAATATTTGGAATTGGGAAAATCTCATTCACATCACCATTTTGGGGATTTGCTACACAAATTCATTCTTTTGCAAGCAATCAAAAGGTCAGAACTCTTCACATCCAATGAACTATGCTTTACCACTGAGCAAAAGAGAGGGGTTTTTCCAGTCAGGTGAAAACGGAATCTAATTCTGTGCACTAAGTTACCACAACCTACCAGTGATCATAAGTGGCATTAAACTCCATTTCATTTGGGAAGAAAAAAAAGTTATTGGCAACTATAAGGAATAAGTTCATTTTAAAAATAAAGTAATAAATCCATTCCTTCATGTTAATGAGAATCTTGTAAAATCACAGAATTAAAAACTGTAGAATTTGAGCTAAGACACCTGAGAGATATCCAGTAATACAACAGCAAATGATATATAACTGTTGATTCAGAAAGAACGAAGCCCTTGAATTCTCAGAGCTTTGTGTGTTTCCTTATCCCTCAGACAGGACGTATTCTCAGCAATGTTTGTGACATCGCAGGTAAATTATTTACATTTTCTTCTAGTCATGTATGAACCTTGAAGAACGAGTGTTATATACATGAGGTGGATACATACATGTCTCTTTAATATTGCTTCTCGTTCCTTCTGGTCCTCCAAGGAGTTTACAGAGAGGTCAGACATGCTGACAGTGGCGGAGGCTGTCAGGGTGACCAGCAGCGCCAGATGTCCTTCGCCCTCTTCCAGCTCTAACTCCAGCTTGTGAGTCTGTTCTCTACTGAGGGCTGACAGGTCGATCTGGCACCTAGAAACAAACATTTTGAATCAGCAGGTGGCTTTCTTCCTGAGATCAAACGGCAGCAGTGCAGGCCAATACGCTCAGAGCTATGGGGAAAAAAATCAGTGCAAATATTCTTTTTTTCTGGCCGTTGTGAGAATTTATCTTTCCACTGAACAATATCTCTTTCTAGCACTCACTCATCATAATACTCTAATATCTTTGAGTTTTCCCAGAAAGAGAAAGGGTGAGCTACGTATTCTGGCTTAATTGCTTCCCAATTTTTAGGGTCCCCAGTCTCAAAGCTCACGATGACAGAAAGGAACATTGTGTTTGTGGGATTTGACCTAGAGACAGTCAGTAGAACTGAAACTGCAGTAAGAAGCTTAGCAGAGCAAACCCACAGGCATAAACTAAAAAGGAGTTAGCAAAATACCACAGTTAGAAAATGCCCATCTCCCTACTTCTATCCTTCCCCTGATACTCACTGAGCAGTGGATTGGAATCTACCATATCATTGTGTAAAGTGCTTAAAATTTTAAAATGTCAATATATTCAAAGTAACCCATGTAAATCTAAATACAAATCAACTAAAACATATGCAAATGGTAGGATGCAATTATGCGCGACACTTGTTTCCCAGCATCTACATCGCGAAACACCACCCCCCCTTCTAGATGCCACTCTCACCTTGCAAACTCTTTTCATAAAAATGTCAATTGATTTTGAAGAGAAAGATAATGTGGTGACCTCAAGGCCAATAAAGTGAGAGGAAGGTGGCAGACATGAATAAATAGGCATTTAAAGACAGGAAACAGCCAATTACAAAAATAAATATGGTCCCATAAACTGAGTGTTAGGCTATCAGGAACAGATTAAATTCTTGCCTCCCCTCTTCGTCCTCCTCCACTCCATCCCTCCCTATTCTCTATTGTTTAGCTGTTAAAATTAAACTGTGAATAGGGCTACAATGTTCCTGATGGTTCTCAGGTATTTGCTCCAGCAATTTCAAACACATCTAAGTTTGACATTTGACTTATATTCTGTATATTAAGTAACAAGTGGCGACAGAAGGGGCTTGGCTAAGATGGGAGTAGAAGAATAAAAGTGATGATCAATGACAGAGATGTCTGTATACACTGGAGTCTCACGGTTAAGATGACAAGAACCTAGAACTATCTTTATATCAAGGAAAGATATACTGTACCTAAAACTGAAATGTCATATTGAATTACTATCATTTCAAATAAAAGACACATATTCACATATTGTCTTTTTCTTGAATTCCATTCCCAACTGCCTACCAGACACTTACAATGTCCTCAGTTTTGTTTTGTCCTTTTTTTCTTTGTCTCTGGGTTCTGCTAATGCACACTGAGTATTCTTGTCATCAACAGAGATCACATGCGTGTCAAAATATCAACAAGCCAAACC